CAAAGTTTGGGCTCATGCCCATTTTGTAAATTATGCCCATGCAGAATGAGGAAAGATGAAAATACATGAAGCACATATGGTAAACGGTAGCTATTCCTTTACCTGGCTTTTGCGCTGTGCTCAGCTTCACTCTGTAAGTGATTTGTAAATGTCTATTAGTCCTTCACAGAGATAATGAGTCTCTTTTTTTCAGCTTGTTACATGCCAGGTATTAGTATGCTTTCCTATATATTGGCCAGAATATTGTGGAAGAAAGAGGAATTTATCTTGTGTAAATTAATCTCTACTAATTCGGTGTGTTGCAAGTAACTTCACATAGACATCATACAGTAAAAAACACCTGAAAAGCAGAGTCAATCATAACAAAGCGATGTTGATAGGGTCTTTAAAAATTTGACCTGCAAAATGGACTATTGTATTGGAAACTTAGGATAGCCATGGGAAAACAAAATGATCTCAAAGGAGCAGATGCACAGCTAGCTTAGAAAATTTATTGGTTTAGCTTTGAAATCAAAATTAGCAGCAAAAGGAAAAGGTTCTTTACTCAGGAGAATTGAATTTATCCATTGTTTTAACATTCTGTGCCCTAAGCAAAAGCCACAGTTCTTTTTCTTCAGAATAGATCTGGCAGATTCCAGCCGTAGAGTCTGTGGTTTTCAAACTCAAGAAGCTGTAAATTTTATAACTCTGCGCCCCGCGGTCAGAGCTGCTGAGTGTTGTGTCTGAAGTCAGGTGGTTGGTGTGTTAAAGGTAGACATTAAACAGTTCTGTTGAGGAACTGGAAATGTTTAAGGAGATTGTTTGCCAGCTGTAAATTTGGGAGCAAATGCCAGTTGGCTGAAAAGATGCTGGAATGCATCCAGTTAAGTAGACTAGCACTGGAGGTCTTTCCAAATTTGTAGGTCTGATAACTTGGCTGTATATGCAGACTTCAGTTATTGGGTTGTTAAGGAAGGGCTTTATAATGAATGTTTGAAAATACGATAGAAAACTTTTTATATGCTCATTACTTTGGCAAAATTGCAACTTTGCAATAGTATTGCATTCCTGATGAAAACTTGGTTGAACATTATATGTTGTGTACTCTTTTTCAGCTGCGTGCCAGGGACTGTAAAGTAGACGGTTTTGTGCCCTGGAATATTTTGTCTCCAATACTTTTCCAGAGTTTGATTTTGCCCTTTTTCTGCGTAGCCAGGATGACACAGGAGGAGAGACCTGCCTGCGATGCAGCTCTTGCTTTGTAAACGTTCCCTCTTGCATTCTGCTGGGTGGGAAGGGGCTCTAGCTTTGGTTGCTGCCCAGGGAACAGAAGGGACATTCACTTCATCCGCCTGTGATAACTGTGTCTACTTTCCGATGTGCGAGAAGGGGGCGTAGCCCAAGGTCTTAAAATGCGTATGGCCCAGCGTGCCTGGTGTGCAGGATTTACCCTACAAGGCACTCACTCAGCTGGAGGTTGCGAGTTTCTTACATCATCGTGTGGTGGTTCTCTGAAGTGATAGATACTAACATGTCTTGTTCTGACTCGCCCGAGATCATTTCCTCTTCACTCCCTTCACTCTGTTGAAGCACCAGGAGAATATTGCTCTAACAGGAGTAAAACTGGTTGCCACTTCTATCTTCTCATCCTTGCTCTTTCGTATTCTGAATTCTGTTGTTCAAGATGCATTTGTTCTGTTTCTTGCCTCTACTATCACAAAGTAAAGAGCACTTTCAAAAGACAAGTGGTCAGCCTAATACCTCAAGATATTTTTATTAGAAAAGTTTTAAGCTTTACTGGTTTTTTTGGCCACTGACATAGCACAGTTTTATGACAGTTGTCAGAATCAAATGAGACGAGGGCTAACCCTTACACAAGGTCTTGAGGTATGGACAAAACCTCCTCCTCTTTTGACATATGACTTACTAAAAGGCCAGATAGAATTTCACCCTCTGCACTTGAAGGAACACAGAGCACCTACTGAAATGGGAGAAAGTGCATCCTCATAGGACCATGAAAGAGGAAATCTGACTTTGACTGTTCATACATTAGCCAGATCTTTTCTAACAGAAGAAGAAAATAAAGCTACTCTCTGAAATTGTTTCTGGCTGCCTAAGATGCTGAGATCTGTGCTAATACCTTGGACTCGTAGGACCTTCCAATGACTAAAAGCAAATTAAAGCATTTTGAAGTCTGGTTTGTAAGAAGAACCAGGAAAGGAATTGTATTTATTCCTTTAGAATTAAGGATAATAAAAGAATAGTTTTCCAGGGCTCAATTCTTATTAGGGTTAATGCACCCTATTTTCTTCTGAAGCACATGTTCTGAAATTTTACACATTAGGTATTTGTCTCAGTTTGTCCTTAAGAGGAGAGCAGAGTGAACACATATTATTGCAGCTTGTTTTTCTAGAAACTCTAATGTCCATGGACTTGTGGTTCAAGATTCAAAGTGACTGTGGAACAGCTGTTTTGACAGAGTTGGACTTCTTGCTATCAGCAGTCATACAGGTTTCTAAAAGTAAAAATTTATATAGAAGAGATATATCATCTGAAGATGCTGTTAAATCTTATAAAACATATAAATCTTACAAATCTTATATTTACATCAAATAGTGATGAAAAGTCAAGGAAAAAAGAAAGGTCCTGAGAAACGTTACACTGGTAATGGTTTGAATAGAGCATAGCAAATAGGGCACAGACCCACACACTGATGAATGAGCATAAAGTAGAATATAGAAACTTTGTAATACGCCCATTAGTGAGCACCACGTGCTGTGAGCGCTGAACATGGTAGAGGCTTTCTGGAAAGACAGTACGAGAGCCAGAGCTTGAGAGTGCATCTGTGCAGGCCAGCGTGAAGTTGCACAGCAGTCTCAATTCTAATGCTTCCTAATTTCACAGTGTTTGATTTTAATCCTGTTCTTGTAAAATAGTTGTGATATACACATACATATATGACGCACCCCTAAAGCAGATATAGCAGTAGTATTTCTATCCAGAATATTCAGTAAAAACAGACAGGTCAGTAATCACTCTCAGATCTGTTTCTTCCGTAATCTCACAGGTATTCTAAGGTGCTAATTAATTAAGCTTGGATGGGTGAGATGAAAACTTTCACATGAAATATTTTAATTTACCTGTGCTGGAGGTCCTTCTAATCTGAATCTTCCAATGAGAAGGCACGTAGTCTCCACTTCTTTTGGAAGTATTTTGCCTTTTAGAGTCCTAATTGCCATATTCTCAGTTTGGATCATTATAAAGGTTCACTGACTGAAATAAAATCTTGGCTACTGAGAATGGAAAACATAGCATCCGTTTTTCTTTCTTCTAGAAAAGTAAACAGTATGCAGTCCACATCCTTCATGTGTTCAACATTATTGAGCTGGAGGTCATGTAAATTTGGTCTGAATTTTCACTGTCATGGGCAATTTCTGTTTTCCAATAGGTACATTTTCAGAATATTTTAAAACCCTTGGCTACATTTCAAAATGTTATTATATTTCGTGGTCTTAAATGACATAAATGGAAGTTTGTTGCTATTTTATGAAACCAGTCTATACAGACATCAGTTCTACCTACGTGGATTGCTTAAGCACTCAGGTTAGACATCATGTGAACTTAACTGATATTTTATTAATATTTTGAATGGTAATCATTAACATAGACTGAAATTGTACTTGAAATGCTAGTGCTTATCAAAAAGCATATTTAGGAACTGAGATTAATTGCACCTGCTCTTCATATTACTATGATCAGGTCCATACTGGTGAAGAATTAAAACTTAGTAGAGCTCTGTAACTGTAAACACTTGCACTTTTTCTATTAAGGACGAATATAAATGCACTTTGCTGCCAAGAATAGTTTCTAAATGTTGTTAAGCAGAAATTTCTCCCCAAATTTAGGTATGTGTCAGATGTTCGTGCATCTTGCATTGATTATAATTCAGACTTGAAATGAATACAGTGAATTTTAGAAAGTTGCCTACATGAAAACTGCAATATAATTCACTACTAAAACAGTACACCCTCGAGAGCTAGGCTCCCTGAGTTAAATGACAAAGATTGTTATTATAGTCAGTAATCACACTTTCTATAAATTTTCTAACACATTATGCTAAAATCATGGATAAAAGATTTTTTCCAATCCTTTTTCCCTTGTAGACACCCAGGGATGGGTCCTCTCCTGGACTGAAGCTTTATCAGCTTCAATCATCATGAGAAAAATACCAGCTGAGGATCTTCCAAACAAAATTTATCACCAGTCCACATAGAAAAAATTTTTTACAAGAAGAAAAAAAAAGAAAAATCTATTTTGTACCCTCAGCCTCAAGAACTGAGGAAGCCATCTCTAGCCACCTCTGTTCCCCAGTCCCCACACAGCTATGCTGCTGCTTTGCTCAAGCTTCTTTCAGTGAAGCATTTGAGTCCTGCTTACTTAATGGGCAAAGGCTTTTTCATTCATAGAAGGCATTATGGAAGGATCAGCTAGCCTGGACTTTGCTTACTAAAAGAGAGGAAATTTCTCCCACCCCCAAATTGTTAATCTGCACTGCCACAGGCAAACTCCAGCACCTGCCAGCGAGCCCCCCGGGAACGCAGGGACCCACTTAAGGGCCAGTCACAGGAGCAGAGCACCGAGAGCTGGGGCAGGGGTGGCGACTAATACTGCATTGCCAGAAGTCTTTGGATGATATTTCACATCTACTGAAGGCATTTCTGCTTCACCAATCCAGTCAAATGCCTTCTGATTTAAAGGCGCGTCATGCTGAAACGCACTCTTCTGTTACATGCCCTGCAGGTGTTAGTCCAAGCAAATGCTTTGCTGTTTAGGAATTACTTTGATGGGTTTATCGAAAAATTAGGTCTCCTGAAAATTCTTTCACAAACATGGTGTGTATAAATATATTATGTGTGTATCAAGTTTAGTTCATCTTCCTTCAGAATGACAGAATCCTTTTCTGTTTTTTTACCCCCTTCCCTTTTATTTTTTTTAAACAAACCCCAAATACCCCTCTATAGATCCTGTTACAAGGCAAAAATCCTGGGATTGCTTGGGAATATACATTTTCCAAAACCAACAATGAAAACAAGACATCTGTCAAAAAACATAGCTACTCCTGGGTGACGGTGCAGTCAGAGTGCTCAGCTACTTGTGGTGGTGGTAGGTAACTTTCCAATTGCCAGTCCTCTTCTTTTTCATTTTTTCAAAGCACCTCAAACTTTTCAACTGCCTTCAATTTTGCAAATGTGTATCAATTCATACAAGGGGTTACACTGAACACCTGGTCCTTATTTTTTTATCTGACAACTTATAACATAGATGAAATACCTTCATACTTCCTTCACAGTAAAAAAAAAAAAAATCATGTCAGTCTCAATTCATGTCAGTCTTTTTTCTTTAGATCAATCCATATGCATATGATATCTGCTGTTGAAGTAATGTGGGAATTAAATATGTGCTTTCTGATGTTGTAATTTGGGAACATAGAAAGATACCAAATAATGAGTAAAATTTATCTTATCTGTAGAGAGTAATTGAAGACTAAAATATTATCAAGACCTTTACTGACAGCTGCCCCTGATCTTCTCACTATTTAATTACAAATATTTGAGTTCTGCCAGGTCGAAGTCTGAAATTCTATATAAGCTAAGCATTTCTTATTACCATATTCCTCTAGGTATTTGCTTTGCACAGACCATCTATTTGTTTTTCTAAATCCTGGATGTTCTCTCAGTGAAAGTAATTCTGAGATGTAATGAAAGCACAAAACTGGCATATGGGAAGTGCTGCAAAAAAGAGTTGAGAATTAAAACTTTAGTGGCCTTTAAATTGGAACTGGGTCATATTAATAAGACTAAATGATGCAGTTGTCTTCAATACTAAAGAATAGGACCAGGTGACCAAGGAAATGCCATGTTATGCTCCTGTATTGGCAAAAAAGTCCAGGGGAAATTCAGGCATATCTTGCTAGTGTGTTGTCAGACTTCACAGCATCTCAGTAGAACGTTTATGGAAGAAAGACCCACCAGGAGCACTGCAGACATAAAATATGACGACTGTATTTTTATGTATTTGCTTCCCTTTAAAACAAATGAAGGTTGCAGCATGGATATAAAGATGATGGAAAGAACCATGTTTCCAAATTTGACTTGCTGTGCCCAATGAACCATGTGTGAGGTGAATGATACATCTCGATTAAAAAATAAATCTATAAAATCACTTCATCTCTTAAGGCATTTGTAGTCTTCTCTGTAATGTGTCCTGATGTTGACACTAGATAGAGTTTAGGTACAGGAACCTGCAGGATTCTGAAGTCTGTAAAGACATACAGTAAAAAGTTGCAAAATGTTTTGTTGCAGTTTGCAAGCGCACGAGGAGAGCTCTAAGCAGGCACTTCTAGTTTCTGCAGGGAATTAGGATTTGAAGAATTACTAATTTTTGCTGGGGGAAGATTCAGCAAATACGCTGTTTATAGCTAAAATGTTTCATCTGACTTCAATAGTACCTGTGTTACAGAGAAGGAAATTAATGTTAAATCACGTTGCCAGATTAAAACCTATTTTATTTAGTTCAAGTCAGTGGAATTGTACCAAGGATAAGCTTGGACTTGTTTAGTTAAAATTCTTCCTCTTATATTTTGGGTAAACGTTTATTTTACTGTATTTTTTTCTAATACTTCCACAGGACACATTACAGCAAAAGCAATTTGTTTAGAAGATCATCGTACACGAGTTAATTCCTCCTTTTGTGGCCCAAGGACGAAGCCTTTAGCAGAAACAAAACTATGCAATACTAATCCCTGTCCAGCATAGTAAGTTCTCTTTATTTTTGTACCTTTTTGCTGTGCCTTATGCCTGAGTTTGCCACGAAAGAAGTCTTTTCTGATAGGCACGCAGAATTGTATAGCCTGCTAGATGAACCCGCTTTTATTCTGTAACGTAAACCAGTAATTGTTTAAAAATGTTAGTTGTGTAGGCTTCTGCCCAATGATAATAGAAGCGGTATTTCTAATGTTGCTAAGCAAGACCTCCTGAGGATTGCTTGTAGCTCTGTCACCATGCTGGGGTTAGCTATGTGACACTGAGTAAATCTAAGTTACTTAGAGGCCTGTTCTGCCACCTTTACTCACCTTGAATCAATAAGACCATTTCCTGAGTAAAGTGCTACTCCCCATGTGGAAGCTTGGCCCCATGACTCAGATTCCACATATTAGATTAGGTTAAAAGAATCTTGTGAAGCGTAATTAGTGATTTTTGGACAAAATGTCCCACAGAGTATTATGATACCAAGACGACGACTATCTAAACCAAATAAATCATCAGCAATGCTCCTGGTGCCCACAAAAATAAATATGAAGACACTGCCTATGTGAACAATCTTATTTTCTAAAAGACATAAGAAAGGTGCGATGCAAAGGAAGACATTGACATATAGATAAGCATTTAGAAACCAGCTGGTCTAAATCAATAGAGCTCCTTTAAAAACAAGGGAGTTACACTGATTTATAGTAGCTGTAATAGGGGTGCTTTGGAAAAAAAAATGTTGTGTGCTCATATAATTAAACACAGTACTATGTGGCTTAGAATATAAATGGGTAGATTTAAGGACACACTGGCCATCTTTCTTCGCCTGTTTTTTTTTTCACTTTTGGATCCCTGACTTTGCAACCTTAGCATTATTTTAATTTTATACTAAAGATCCGAAAAGCTGTACTACGTTGGACAAGACATTTTGACTTCCAGAACAGGAGATTTTCTAAAGCAATTATGTTGAAAAAATGGAAGAGTATTTCAGTGGGAAATAAAGACAGCTGAAGATTCACTGAAGCACACAGGCAGCAGAAGGCAGAGGAAATGGAGGAAAGCTCTAGACCTGGTGTCATCTGCTGGTTTTACTCTGCGGTGATAAAAGCAATGGGCGGTAAAAGCAATTGGCTAAGCCCACTCCCATACTTCATAAAATAAGACGTTTCATGAAGTTTAATAGGAAGCATTTCTCATTTCCCCCAGTCCAGAAGAGGATGATGGGGCAAAGCAAAAGATCTGTATATTCTGCAGTGGCTTTGTTTTTACTTAAAAATCCACAGTTTGCAATATGTTGAACATACTAAAAAATAGTCCAGTAATAGTTTGGCATTTCCTGCAAAATTTAAAGATTACAACAGAGTACGCAAAATCCAAATGGCAAATTACACACTATGACCACAAAACGATAGAGATAAGGTTTAAATAATGGTAACATGTGACATGAGAGCCCCGTGTTTCTGCTTCAGCAGTTTCTTCAGATTGCGTTTAGCCACATGATTTTCTCAATACCAATTTTAAGTAATCATTGTAGCCAAACGCAATCTTTTCATATACTACTTATCTTCTGCCAGAACTATTTTTATCCAGTGAACTCAGTATCATGTACACAGAAGTGTATTGTCTATGATGTTCCCAGGAGTCTTTTTAAGCTGCTTATGCTTACCTTCGTTTTGACATGGCATTGTTATGCTGCAAAGCTTCACCAAAATTGTATTAATTTCTATTGCGCACACACAAAATTTCCATTTCTGTTAACCAGAGATCCTGATGTATTTTGAACACCCACTGACATACCTATCACTGAAAATGCTGAATATCCATTTTGACATGCAGTGCGATGTTTTCATGCTGAAATTGCTCTGATATTCTTAGATTTACTGCTTTAAAGCACAATGAATGACTTGAACCCTAAAAAGAGTACAAAATTAAAAACCGTAAAAGCCCCAAGCCACCTCTAGGGAAAAAGAATTCAACTCACTAATTAATTACTTTTAAAATCCTTTGGATGTATTAATGTTTGGAGGATCTACATGTAGGACCATGTCTTAAATTAACAGATTGCCATTCAGCTGAGTGAAACTATGCCAGAATATCTCTGCTGAGCAATCTGCCCAGAAAGTCACAGCATGTAATATTTCCCATAAATCCGAGACTGCCAACATCAAAAAATGTAGTATTAATAAATACCATGGCGGAAACAAAGAATGCTTAATAGCCAGCAAATAAAGCAAAACCAAATACGGTAGACATAATAGGGAGGGGAAGGAGGTGAATAACAGATGAGATACAAGCATGTCAGTTTTGTGACATAAAAGAGGCTCCGGACTTATAAAGGTCCGTGAGGAATAAGTACTGCATAAGAACAAAGACTTATTAGTCTGAGCAGGAACAAACTACTGTCCCAACAGTAAGAACACAGAAAGGCATCGGTACTGCACACTGTTGTTGTTGGATTTCAGAGCTGCCAAATCTGGTCATAATTATTTAGTTATTTGAGCTAATGAAAGATACTCTTGGATCACAGCCCAGATAATCTTGGAAAATGGCAGTTTACTAGAGGACATTAAAGTAAGTTTATTGCCCTCTCCTCTGTGAAGAGGGGAACTTTCTGGGCAGTTACAATGAATAAACTCTTAAAATGAACGCTTTTGGTTGCTCTACCAATCACTGTTGTCAGAAACATCAAGGCAAACTAATTAAAAGTTGTAAAATGGATTAAACCGGTACCTTTTTCCAGAAGTTTGTATTGCAATAGTCCAAATGTTTATAAATCAGACAAAAAGGAAATTTCTGATGTGTTCTGGAATTACGTAACTACTGACTTTTCACATTAATATTTCTTTGTCCTTAAATTAGTGCTTTTTACATTTCCCACTACTTTTGGCAGTTACTGAAGTTACTAGACTGAGCATTGGGATTTCTTCTATTCCCAAACGAATTTTTCCAAAATAGGCTTTTTATATATTTTTTACAAATTAAAATTAGCTTTGTTTTCAGGCAGATGTGAGCAGACAGGCAAATGGGATGCTGTTCATCTTTCACACAGTAAGAAAAGGAAAAAAAGCTTTCTTGTCATTAAAACTGTATGTAAGCAGTATTCCAGTGGTCACAGGGCTGATGCTGTGAGAAAAAGTGGAAGTAACATAGGCCGAGCAGTCGGATTTGAGACGAGAACCTTTTCTGTGGCGTAAATGACTAAAAATTTGTAAAGCTGCTGTTTTAAAACCTTTAGTTTACATTCAGTGCTGGGCCTTTGAATAAGAGTTCTCAACTTGAGTAATCATTTAGTCATTCATAATTTCCCTTGTTTCTTCACCTCTGTTTTCCTACCTAGTTGTTATTTATGGTCTTAACATAAGCCTTCAAGGACAGAGACACTTGTGGTATTGTTGTTGTATGTTTGCAAAGTGTTCCACAAAGGCTGGGGACCCACTCAGTGCTTCAATAACAGAAATACTGAGCAGCTATTGACATTTCGAAACTGAACTTATCCTAAGCAATTGGCAATAATATTTCAGACTTTGTATAGTTTCAGGGACATGATGCGTAACTGGAGCGTGCCTGTGACTGCATTATAGATTTGCCCAACAGCTTTTGCTGGTTAAATTTTCTCTGGTTTATTTAGATTCTACATCATCTGTCTGCCAAATGTATTAGTCTGAGGACATTTAAATCCTCCAGACACTAATGACAGGACTGCTGATTTTAGCAAGCAAGTTCTTTTTTGTGAATAGAGGCCAGTAAGGTTTGACATAAATACCACTGGACAGCACCACGCCAACATTTGTTGCCCTGTGCATCTACACACAAATGCATTGGGAGGTACACCCTCAGCTAAATTGGCCCCATTCTTTCCCTGCCGTGCCAGCTTTTCCCTTGTATCAGCTTAGGTGATTCTTCTTCCTCCCCCCTGTCTTCTGAGAGAGATGTGAAAAGGGAAAAATGTGACAACAAAGGGCAGAACTTTCCAATAATCGCATCTTACTGATTTACAGAACTCTCTCCATCTATCTGGCTTCTTCTTTTGGCCTCGGGTCTGTTAGTCTATTTGGAGATCTCTTCAGCAGCTAAAGTGAAAAAAGTGATCATCGTACCATTTCTTTAGAACAGATTTTTCTTTTCCTGTATTAGAGAGGTTTTTTTCAATTAAAAGCATAGATGTGGTTAAAAAGGAATGGTGATTTGTTAGCCAGACCCTTAGATCTTCTAGGTACTCCACCAGCCCTAATGGCATCATCTCTCTCAGACCCTGTGGAATTCCAGATTCCAGACTGGATTCGTAGGCAAGTTGGTTCTGGTAGATGAGAACTGTAAATATGTAATACTAGTTTTTCTCGTTGTGTGACTTATGTTTCATCCCTAGCAAAATGTTCCATGCTTTGAAGATGTATTATGTAGCTAAGGCTTTTTGATTGCTTGAGCAGGTATCAGTACATCAGGAGAGTAGGCTAAGCTAAGAATCCCTGAATAATTCACATTTGATAGGTGGCTCATATGTATTGATTTTATAAAGCTAATTGGACTCCTGTGTTTCTAACATACATTTTCTCCTATAAGCTGGTCAACAGGCGAATGGAGCGCATGCAGCAAATCTTGTGGAGGAGGGCAACAAAATCGTCTCATTCAGTGTGTCCAGAAAAGGGCTTTCCAAAGAGAGGAGGTCGTGGCCCATTCCCTGTGTCCTGTCAGCACCCCGACACAGGTGCAGATGTGCAACAGCCAGGACTGCCCACCTGAATGGAGCCCTGGCCTATGGTCTCAGGTAATTCAGAGAAACACTTATGGTTTTGTCTGCTGGCATAATGAAAATATTGCCAAAAACTCTGCTCAGAAAGAAGAATAGTGCAAACTTTGTGAAGATCAGTATTTTGCAAGTGTCTCTATTCATGAATATAATATGTAAACTATGTATATATTTTCACTGCCTTCCTAAGTGCTCAGAAAGAAGGGCTTGCCAGAAGTGGACACGTGGTATCCTTTTTGGTACATGCAAACGGATAATTTTTTCTGGTTTTGTAACTTAAGGCTCTATGAATTCTTCAAAGCCATTAACCCCCCTCTGAGATTACTTCCCACAGCAATATTAACTTTTCTCAGAGATGACAGGCAGTCAAGGAATGAAGAAATATTTGGGGTTAGAGTTGCATATTAATGCACACACATATGTGAATTGTGGGTTGATAAATTTGTGATTTACACGTTCACTAATCACTTCTGTGCTTTCGCCTTTGCTAGAGTAACTGTTCTACTGCAAGTAGAGTACTGCTGCAGTTAACTGCCATGAGGGGCACAAGGCCCCTGGGCAGGTTCCTGTGCGTGCACACCCTGCTTCACAAACCTGCGAACTGCCTGCCATTAAACCAGCCTGAGTTAAAAAATGCACACACGGTTACGCAAAACTCACCGCTGCTCGCTCTTTCACAACTGTTGCTGCTGGTGTGAGCCGTTAATGTAGGGATAAATGAAATACTGGGAAAGCTGGGGTTTAAGAGAGAGCTGACAGGAGTACGCTTATATCAAAAGGAGCTACATTATTTTTATTTTTCCATCTTCATTTAGTGAGATTCAAGGTGGATTTAAATTATTTAAATTTACTGAAAAATCCATTACTTCTGTGTACACTTCTTGGTACCGTTACTTTTTTAAGTGTTCAAGAACACCTTGACCTAAGCATTCCCAGCTGAGAAGCAGGCTCTAGAGGAGTGCCCTGTAGTGTACTATGACAGATGAGCAACTACTCAATAGTCCATTGGAACAGAGTAGTAACACTCAAAAAGAAACTTTTTCTTCCAGTGTACGTGAAGGAAACCTTAGTGTGGCAGGAGATTATAAAAAGCAGGTAGGATGATTAGATACTTAAAAAGGAAGAACAAACACATTCACGCTTTCAAACTTTCCTTCCTCTAAAATAATAAAACAATAAAAAAATCGATTTTCCTCCTCTTTAGGAGGTGTACATTTCAAGTTAGGATTTTCAAATAAACCTATGAAAATTAAGTTTGCAAGTCCTGTGGAAATGTAGTGAACGGGCCTATTGAACAAGTTAGTAAAGATTTTAAGATTCAGCTGAAAGCTGTTATAACACAGGCTCAAAGGAGTTAAAAGGAAAAAAAATGCAAAATATGCAGCCTCTCTACACAAATCAGAATAATGTTAAATGAAAGCAGTTTTGTGTTTGTTTGGGGGAAAGATTAAAACCACAGATATTCAGCATGCATGTATTTCTGTTGCATCCTCAGTACAAGTCTGCTTTCACAAAATCTTTTTAACATTTGTGATGTAATCCAGATAGCGATAGTGCAGGATTCTGCCTTGGAATGTGCCCCTTAATTATTAGTAAAAAGAAGAACAATTAGAAGAGGATGCAACAAGTTAGAAAGCTGGCAGCATTATTTCACGGCTGTTTATTTCTTCATTTCATCATGGCTTGTCTGTGCATTTTGTTGTATGCTGAGGCAATGAAAACTATAGAACGTCTTTTCAACTCAACCACGGTTCA